TACACGGACAGAAATCTGTTGGCATTTAGGCAATTTAATTAAAAGAAGAAATGGGCATCCTGCTTCTTCCCTCTTGTCTACCTTCCTGAAAAAGCTCAACCCCTACCCACACTGGGAAATATGTTTCTAGCGAAGATACTGGTCCTGTGTGATTAGCTGGAGCAATCCAGATTGCCTGCAGAGAGATTTCAACCCACTTGCACTCCAGTTCATAAAGAGAGATCCCCGAGGAGCTCCTGCCTGCACCCCGCAGCAGCCGGAGGTCTTGCTGAGGGTTTCACCAGTGGAGCCACAGTCCAGCTCCACGTCTGACCGCTGACCAAACCAGCGACCTTCCGCCTGAGGCTGGGTAGTGGAAGCTAACTCTGGCACAAGTTCTAGTGCAACAGTTTCACAGCAAACAGGAAGCTAGAAAATTAACACTGAAGCAGATAAGCTGGAAGTAAGTGTAGTTTAAACTGAATTTAACAATACTCTTTCCAGAGGCTACTCTCATAATATAGCTTAAAAGCTCTTCTCATATATGTTGATACACTGAGATCAAAATGCAATAATTAAGGGTACTTTGAGGTTCTTGGATTGTGCCGTCTAACTTCGCAGCTTCCTAGCCATGGAGAACTTACCTGTTAGTATATAAAACGGTCACTCTTTAATGCAGCAAAATTAAGGTACAGCAGATATTATTTTTCATTTTAATATTTAATTTCTTTAAGAACGTTACACTTGTAATGTTAACAAACTAACAGAAATCTTGCCTTTAGCGGTCATTTCCCCAGGATGAAGCAAGTTAATACATACCCCAGACTGAATTCTAGATTCCTTCCTATTGCTTGCACAAGGGTATCGGAACATTCCCAGTAAGGTGAAGATGCTGGTAGCGATAATAAGGAGTTTTTCCTTTTAAAGGACACCTCAAGCTGCAAGGATGGCCTTTGCTTCCCTTTCCCGAATGAGGTACGTGGGGAGCCGCATTTGACCTATCGTCAGGTTACACTTCAGGTTCACATTGCGACTCCTGATTTACCACTCACCTCGTGTTAAAATCTACTTTTTAACAAGCAACTAGCTTGGAAAATGCTGGGGTGGGGGGGAAATACTTTGACATGTCAGTGCATGTTAGCCTCCACCAAGTCTTTCCCTGTCTTTGATGCTTTCTGCTCTGCTCTCGTTGCAGGCTGGAATGCTCTAAGGTGTGGAAAATACTGCAGGAAGCCTATTACAACAGATTTCTGACGCGGATGAGGAATGAGGGAAATATGCTGGTACTGGGGGGGCACAAAGGACCAAGCAGGGTTTACAGAGAGCTAGGTATTAAGCCACAGGGCAAATCGATTCATCCACATCAAGGAAATCAATCGCTGCCCGCATCTCCATTTAGGACTCAGTAAGTGTCCTAAGACTCTGGCTAGAGAAACAATAATTTACAAGAAGAAGGGAATTCTACTGAAGGAAACAAACCTCACGTTACAGATCCTGTCAAAATCAGTAACAACAACAGGCTCCACAAGGATACAGGGATGTTAGGCACGCATTCCAACTGTTTAGGAACGCACACTAAAAACGTGCCCCAAATTACCACAAGAGAGTTCTGTTTCAGAGCACGTGATTCTCATGTCACCGCAACCCTCAGGCTCTGAGGAGACGTGTTAGATTATCTGTTGAGCAGCTAATGAGAGGAAACACAGAGAGCCAGCAAGGATCTAGGGAACAACGAGGGGTAGGAACCCCAGGAAGCTAACTGGGAGCTCCCTGACTACTCCAGAGCCCAGGGTGGGAAACCCATCCAGACAGGGCAGTGGGGAAACGGTCTCCAGAACATCCTGCAGACTGAAGGCGGTTATTGCCTACAGGGACACAGGACTCGGTACGGGATGCGGGGGAAGAGAGCATTTTCTGAACTGAGAAAAACTTATTATGGAACCTTTTAAGGTGATTGCAGGAATGTGATTGAACATGAGAAACTTTTTATTGGATGTTTAAGGGAAGGACTGAAGGTGGAGAAAGGGAGGGATCAAGGTGGACCAGGGAAGACCATAAGCCTCGGGGGCCTACAGGTCCAGGTACCAGCAGCTCAGGCAGAGGAGAAGATCTGGGGCTAGTTACCGGATAGCTGGCCAGCCTAGACTGAGTGTCTGAGAGCAGCTACTGGAACACCCCATGTATTGTGCATGTGTGTATAGACATGTAGTCTACTAGTGGAGCCCAGTCCTAATCGGCTGAAGAGGAAGACTGGGATTGAGCCGTCAGTGCTGTTCGTGGTTGTGTGAAAGCTGCATGTGTTTACGTGGGTGCTGATAAAGGCACTGCTGTGAGCATGCGTGGGTGCGTGTGCCTACTGGGAATAGGTGCTCAGCCTGGCTGGATGTGGGGACATGGACCTGCAGCAGCCTCACACCTCTGGGCCCGCTACGGGAGGAATTTCCCTGGCTCCTGAAGCCTGCTGCAAACAGCTGCCTTTCCCAAGAGTAGGACTGCTTCCAAATTCAAGCTCTGCCTGCATTTGACCTTGGTTCTGAAAATGGAAACCCAGACCTCACCTCTAAAGCTAGAAGTGCTCAGAAGTTGTTCTTACCGAGCTGGTTCTTCATCCCCATGAGAACAGAGTTCATGTGAGCTTTGGAGGCATAGAGTTTGCTTACAGCCTTTCGAGAGCGGATCAGTTCCTTTGCCAAGATCACACACACATCCTTCTGACCCTTTTTGGCAGCATCCTTTATTGACCGCTTCACCTTCTCCTCTTCTCTCTGGATATCTGGAGTACAGAAAAAGCACAGCAAATAGTGACAAGCTGCTAAAGATTTGGAAGAGAAACCAGTCATTTGTTGGGGTGTATTGTCAACGCAAAGAATCTTTTCTGCTTGATTTCAGATCCCCTCTGTTACTCAAAGACCTTGTTCTAGGCTCATTTACATGTTAGCTAATTAATTCAACTAAATATTAGTAGGAAAATTCTCATTACTAAACATCCAGCTCTGTAATTTCCTTTGCAGTTCAGAGTACTGTAAAGGACTGTCCAGGAATATCACTGCGTGAAGCTGCCCTGACTAAGGTGAATTCTTAAGACGCAAAAAAGGTCCAGTAAGAGCAAAGCACTCTGAGATGACTACTTGACTTACAACTTCACAATAACTTCCTGACTGTTAAACTGGCCTGATGTAAATATACAGATAAATACATACACCCATATGTAATACATACACACACAGTTTAAGACTACTGTACTGATTTGCTGCTTACAAGATTATCTCTTCCGTGTTCACCACCAGATAGCCCCACTTCACCAGGAAGGAACAAAGTTGTCACACGAAGTTTAAAACTAGCAGTCTCGGAAGACAGACGGGCATTTTACTAGCAAAAATACTTAGCCGTCAGACTACATTCAAAGCTTAACCCATATGCCCACCTTCAAGTGAATCTGAGGGCTGCCGTAGGCAGAATTGTCCTCACTGTTTCTAAGTCTCTGAAATGTGTTTTTCTGAAAAAAATACATTCAGAAAGATTGTAGATGGCTGATCTCACAGTGGCTAGAAAGTTTTAGATATACACTGCCTTTAAAAAAAAAAAAGGCATAACCATTTATATAGCGAATTTGTAAGGGCGTGTCCACAACTTTACGCGTTACTTAGAACTACAGATTTGTTAATTACTGCCAAAAAAAGCCTTCGTCCTTGCAGATAGACTTAATTATTCCCCCCCATCAGGCACGACTCATTGAGCCTCAACTGGATACCCAGCCAAGTCTGTACTTGTACTTAAGAAGTTCAGGTCTTGAGTTTATACTGCTCATACTTTAAGACACGTGCATTAGGTGTTTGTCTAAACTGGCACATTCAAATTATAAGCTGGCTGGCTGGCGCCAAAGCTATGGATAATTTTATCAGGGAAAACTAGTATGCTGGTAAATTGTTAGATATAACTGAAAGCAGCCTGTTCAAACTCTCCTGGTATCCAGCTTCACTCAATAGCTTTTTATAAGAGCATGCTGGAGCAGGAGTACTGAACTAAGCCTGTACAAAATGAGCACCAAATAATTGGATTTGATATATTATACACTAAATAGGCTTCCTTAAATAACGTAGGTTTCTCTAGCAAATCTGGGGTGACTGTTCACACGTCTGCCTTGTCAGATAACGCTGGCTGTGTACAGCAGAAGCCAGGTACCTCAAAAAGCTCAGAGTAAGAAACGCAGGAACAAGCAGGGGCTGTAACAACCCCCTTCCTTTTCCAGGCTCGGCAATAAATTAGCCACTGATGAAATGTGGATCTAAGAGTCTGCAAAAAAATTATCCTAAAGTAAATAAAGAATTCAGATAGTGAGGGTTAGGCTCGCCTTCCTGCAAAGAGTTGAAGGAAATGACCGCAAGAACAATTATTTCTAGCAAAGGCTTTGTTCAAATTTGGTTTTGTTTGAGTCTTCTTGATTTATACCAGACCGAAGTTACGCGTAGGCAAGAATCAGAAGTTGCCCTTTTGTAAAAACAAAGGCATCAACGCACGCTTTTTGGCACAGGCCAACCTTGAGACTTCGACGCAGCTTCTCACGTGGGAGTTAATGAACCCTGTACTCAAGATGAGTCATTCTCTCAGTATCATTCAATAGTGTCTTTACCCTAAAGGGCTGGCGGAAATCTGTAGGATCGTAATCAGAAAAACATACTCCTTGCTGCTTCCCCACTATTTTCTGCAGAAATGTCCCAAGCTTGAAGACATCTGTATGTCAGACACGGGAGCGAGCCAAGTCCCAGCACATCAGAACAGGTACAAAACAGCTGAAGTGCTACAGCAAAAACCAGAAAACACCAGTACTCCAGCAGTGCTGAGGAATTACGGCATTTACTTTGTCAGGCTAAAACCAGCCACAAGTATTGTGTTACTACATCCAAACTAGGGTAGTGGGGCCCTGTACTCGCGTGAACGCTTCCACTTGCATGACAAACCGCTGAATATGAGATTAGCGGCATAAAATGTCCAAGAATGGTCAACTCCACCTTTGAAGGTCAATGCCAGCTACGCACCTCTAGTGAGCTAAAGGCACTACACCAGTCCCCTCTGCAGCACTACCAAGCACAACAGAGGCACAAAGCAGTCCAAAGCACCTGCGAGAGGGACTTGCAAGCTCAGTAAAGCACAAAGTTACTGTATTACTCCAACTATATTAACTCGAAAAATTCAGTTCTGAAGTCACGAGGATACCTTTCATTTCTTCGAACCTTCCAAGCCCTCAAAAGCAACCTACAGCAAACAGAAATCATGACAACAGCAAGACTCCAACAACAGATGGTTCAAAACAGCATGTCGATGTATCAGTAGCTGTGCTGTCTGGGCGAGCCAAGTGTTCGGGTGACCCAAGCCTACTCGGTTCATCCCAGGTGGATCTGAGTGTTACCGTATCAAAACACATCTAGCACTGCCTTCCCCAGGGAAACTGAGAGAGGTCCCAGCTCAGCATCCTTACTCAAAGATTACAGCCATTTCCTGTGTAAATCTCAATCGAAATGATAAAGCCTGGCAGAATCCAGCTACAGGGGGTACTTTTGGAAAACAAACAAACAAAACCTTTAGGGGCACGTGGCTGTCATCTTTCAGCAGCAGCCTGCTAGCCTGGTAAGTGTCCAGCAGAACCACGTACTTCCACAGCCGACACTTGGCAAGATGTGAAATCCCAGCACAATATGGGCATTACAAAGATACTCTGTACTTTATTTTAATGGGAATTATCAGAATAGCAGATGGTTGGTGGTTAGTCTAAGCTCTTATGTGCTGAACTGTATTTCTTTCTGAAATACATATACAGAGATGTCTAGAGCCATTACAATAATTAGATTTACATCCACGTCAAAATATCAGACCCAATATCTATATAGGCCATTAGAAGTATTATGGCATGCATAAAGTTGAGAGAAAACCAAAATCTCAAGAAACCATCAATAGTGAACATATGGGTAGTTTGCTCCCGTGGAAGATGCGACCTCTAAAACATACTCTGCTAATAAGATCAGCCACGTTTCAGGTGCTCTGTGCCCGATACAGCCACACAAAGCGCCTTGGAGAATGCAAAACAATTCACAAGCAGAACGAACATCACTGTACATCGGTTTTCCTGGAAGAGGCATAAACCGTGTCCTCATTTTACAGATGAGGATAAAGACAGGCTTTGTACTGCACGAGCATCTCTCTCCAACGCACTCGTACAAATCTACAAGTGGGAGAATATATGAACCCTGCCAGCTTAGCCCAGAAGCACGGGGCTGGGGAGGAAAGGGGCAAGGGAGAACGTACTCCTTGAGGAGTCACTCAAAACAGGCATGCGCCTACTAACCAGACGCTGACACAAAATATCCTTTACCAGCACATCCCATGGACCAATCCTGAAGGCAGGGTAGAAGACAAAAAGGGGAAAATAGAATCTGCCCCAAACCTACTGTCAGATTCTGGAAAAGCAGGCAGATGAGAGAACAAGAAACTGAACTAGGGGCAGTGTAATAATAAGCAACTCCTCTGCTTTTCAAGACCTCTCCAAAAATGTAATACCCATGATTTAGCAGCAAAACACCTACTGAGAAAAGGGTTTTTTTTCTTCTTCTCTCCTGTTTGCAATTTTCCCAAGCTGACAGCAACCTACTTCTGTTTAGCACGTGCACTTCATGCCAGTACATACCTGCAGAACTTTCTACACGTGGAATTACATACCACACTGATACTATTCATTAAATCAATGTGGCTGAAGTTCTGGATAGTAAGTCTAATTCATCTTACCAAATGGGATTTAAGAGCATTATGTCTTACTGGAAGCACACAATATTCAAGTTCTTTTGAAAATTTTATCTGAAGAACTTCACAGCGACATCATTTTGTAACACAGACTAAGTCTGGCCCCAGGATCACATTCATCTTCCTTTATTCCAGACACGATAAAGTACCCTGGGTTATTAGATTTCACAGCCTCCCCCAGTTAAAGCAAAAAAACCTTGAAGGCAGACAGGGAAAGGAAAAACAAGAAAATGAGACATAAGTACAAACCTCTGATCTGTCTATCAATCACTCTCATTTCTTTCCTTATCTTCAAGGACCATTCATTGACCTTAAAAAGAGAAAGTGAGAGTTACTTGAAATTCCAAGTTTAAAACTATGCTTTTATACTTTCACATAACAACCATTCAATATCAAAAGCCGCACTTCAAAATGCACAAGCTTTAAGTTATGAGTCATGTTTAAATATTTCATTATTCAAATTAAAAAAAACCCCAACATTGCAGGGATACCACCAATTATTGCACTCCTCTTAACATTCAGACAAGGAGTTAAGGAGGACGCGGCTTGTGAATCAGAGACGCTCACTGCCTGGCTAACTTCCCACGTCACAGCGACGTCACTGTGCAGAGGGAATTGCCGCAGGGGATTTCATCATAAGGTAGAAACATTGGCATGGGATGACAGCACCGAGAGACTACGCATTTCAGTCAGAAGGAACCCCAGGAGGTCTCCAAGCCAACCTCCTACTCAAAACTGGCTGGATGGCCGGGCCCAAAGAGTTGTGGTGAATGGAGTTCAATCCAGTTGGCGGCCGGTCACGAGCGGTGTTCCCCAGGGCTCAGTGTTGGGGCCAGTTCTGTTCAATATCTTTATCAATGATCTGGATGAGGGGATCGAGTGCAACGCTCCAGGCTTGGGGAAGAGTGGCTGGAAAGCTGCCCGGCGGAAAAGGACCTGGGGGTGCTGGTCGACAGCCGGCTGAACATGAGCCGGCAGTGTGCCCAGGCGGCCAAGAAGGCCAAGGGCATCCTGGCCTGTATCAGAAATAGTGTGGCTGGCAGGAGCAGGGAAGTGATCGTGCCCCTGTGCTCGGCACTGGTGAGGCCGCACCTCGAATACTGTGTTCAGTTTTGGGCCCCTCACTACAAGAAGGACGTTGAGGTGCTGGAGCGTGTCCAGAGAAGGGCAACAAGGCTGCTGAGGGGTCTGGAGAACAAGTCT